GATATATTTGTGATTTGTGCCCGTTGAACGAGTGACATTATTATGTAAACCAATTGATGATCCTTTTGAATGCAGTCAGAAATACATTTGAAAAAACTTATCTGGATTTACCCGATGCAAACGCTACTGTCGACCAGTAACTCAGCAGCAAAAAAATGTCAAAGGAAAATTTAAACTCCTATAGTACATCAGTACTGATAGTTCTTAGTCGTCAGTACAAAGACATAGTACACATCAGTACTGATATAATTTTTGATTTGTGCCCACTGGAGCAGTCACATTATTATGTAAAAACATTTGATAATCCTTTTGAATGCAGTCACAAAATACATTTGTCCTGACAAAAAACACTACTGTCGACCAGTCGTCAGTACAAAGGTAGAGTAAAACAAACACACTTGTGAACACCTTAAAAAACATCATTTTGAAAAAAAGAAAGCTATGTCTGCTTCTGCCAGTCCCAATTCAGAAAGACCATCATTACATAAAAATAATTACCTCAAACAAAAATGCGAATATAATACATTCTGTACTGATGAAAATCTAATTTATCTGTAAAAAAATACTCAGAGATTATCTTGATATAAACAATCCTTTAAAAAATACAAAATTGTTTTAAAAAACATTAGCATCGCACATAGTCTCATTGGTATTTGGTAAGTTCAATTACACTTCAATCACCAGTCCAAGTACCACAGTAGAGGAGTACAGACCTCCATCATCACCAACCCTGACATATGCAAGTGGGATGAGCAGCCGATAAGTACAGCTTGACAAGAAAAATCAGTGCGACAGTAAAATGCCGTCATCACCACCCTTGAGATGTGCAAGTGGGATTTAGCAGGTCATAAGTACAGCTTGACAAGACTAGTAAGTATAGCAGTAAAAACCATTGGACTTGGACGGTTACTTCTTCCAGGCCACCACCCGCGCCACCCATTGAGCGGTTGCCACAACGGACTGCAAACGGCGACCCCACGCCACTACACCCACGCCCCCGAAGAACCGCCTCCCACAAATCCCCGTCGACGCACTACAAAAACCCCATTCTCTTCCATCTATCCATCATCCCCACAAACAACCATTTCCCTTCCATCTCCCCTGCACACAAACCACAGACTTCTCTCTCACAAGCCCACAGCCGCCGGAGGAGGGCTATGGCGGAGGAACCGTCCACCAAGCGTCATCAAGACGAGCCGTCGGACAAGAGCAACAACCTCATCGACGTTCACGTCCCCGGCGAGAAGCGTGAGTACACCAAAACCCTCAGAGAGGTTGAGCTCCATGGAAAGGAGACGCGGGAGATCGTCTGCACCAGCGAACCAAACAAGGCCGACAAGGTGATCTCCAGGCTCTGGAGGAAGGCTGGCGGCATGGTTCGTAGGATCATCGGTGTTGGTGTGCACTACACCAACGGAGATGAACCTCCCCAGATGGCAGCAGTCCTGTAGTTGTGCGTCGACGACCTCTGCTTGGTGTACCACATCGTAGCGGCCACAAAATGGTGAGCCATCCTACTTATTTGCCCTGTTTGGTTTATCTGTTTTATTAGTACTATATCCTGAAAATTTCATCAGACTTGTTTCCCAACTAGATGTACTAGTGTGGCTTGTGAAAAGTGGATGCACTACTGCATTTTCTCAAGTAGATACACTATAAAATGTATTTTTGAACCTGATGCACCGGATAACTATTTGGAAAATCTTGCGGAAGATTAATTTCTGAAGTTGACTGACTAGTCTAGTTTCTGAACTTGATCCAATAGTGTAGTTTATGTACTCAATGTATTAAAAAGATGTTTCTGAACTTGATGTAGTGAAGTATTTTCTGAATTTGATCTAATGTTATTCTCATAAGAAAAAAACTAAGGACTTGGTGAAGCACTGTTTATGTGTTATCCTATTCAAAAAATTAAACTAAACTAGTACCAAAGCAGAACATACAACATTGACTGAAACTATGTATAATCCAAAAAAGAAGAATAACATGGTGTACTTAATTTAATTTCAGAACTTTGTTTACTAGTTTATGAAGTACATTCATCCATTATTTATGCTACATAAACATATACTTAAATGGATTCATCGCTTGTAAGACAAAACAAAAATGAATAATTCAAACATCAAAAGTAATGTTGATTTTCAAAAATGTCTCTCCCCTTGCAGGCCCAAGCGCCTGAACGAGTTGCTACAGCATAACAAGTTGTTCACATTTGCCGGTTTCAGCATTAAAAGCGACAAAGAGAAGTTGAAGTTGTCTGGTTTGGAGATCAACCCCGACAAGTTCATCGACATTCAGCGCAAGTGGAGAGTACCATACACCGGAAAAGAGTACGACTCCTTGACTGATGTTGCAGCCAGCGTCATCCACCCATTCTACAAACGCATGAAGAAGAACATCAACACGCAGGAAGACTTCAAACTGTGGGGGACCAGCCCGCTGCCAGACAACCTCATCGAGTACGCAGGAGTGGATGCATACGCCATGTACAAGGCATGGAGCATGATCGACTACATCACAGATGGTTCGGAAATTGCAAAAGATCGGGAGGCTGCGAATTACTACGACCAACCCTATTGCCCCTATGCGGGATGAAGATACATCAGAGCCTGCCTTCGTTTTACTTTCGCTTGTGCTTGCCTTTTATCTTGTTGTTTCAAATTAGTAGTTTGCTCTTGTTGGGTTGAACCAGTATGATTATGTCGTGCTTATCATTGTTGAACTAGTTTATTTATGTCATCAAGTACAATGTTTTTCTTATCTCATTATATAAGTTTGGTAGCTTCGTATGTTGTTAATCCATCATTTCAAATTCAAAAAGTAGCTTCTGAATAGAACTTTGTAGCTGATCTAAAGTACTAGTTATGATGCAACTAATCACACAACGTTTCTCTATGTCTAGTTTCGATTCAGTATTGTATATAAAACATAACGTTGAGAACAATCAACACAATTTGAGTTGCTTAACAACGCTTCAAAAGTTGAAGCAAAAATTCTTAGTACTCCATCTAGTGTTCTCATTCATATGTAGCCGCTAGATAATTAACAAGTACCACAAAACAGAAAAAGTTAAGAAAGCATCAACACACACTTATGCTGGTCGCTTGCAGATTAAGAATCACAGTACTAGTACACTTGATCGGATAGTACATACTTACTACAATAAAAAGTACATAGAAGCATCAGTCCGTAAGCGCTACTATGAATGGACTATCAGTACAACCTAATCTAAACGCAAGCACATCTTAAAATTACACTTACACAAAACTGACAAGAACTAGAACAAAAAGTTTTAGTCCAAGTTACTGCTGGAGTCAAGTACTAGATTCAAACAAACAAAAAAACAAAAAACTGACCGCCCAAGGTCAGGCGCAGGCCCTGACGCTGCTAGATACTTGAACTCGAGCCCATAGGCGAATCCCTAGTAATCCGCACAATGCATGGCCCACCCATCAGGGCCCATAGGTCAAGAGAGAGAATGAGCATCGTGTATAAGTGCTCAGGTAAGTATTCAGAGGAGTTCGACCAGTGAGCCTCGGTTGCGCTTATAAACAGGTTCGGAGCCCCCTCGACTAGCGAGGTGGGACTAAACCTAGAGCGCATTGGCACCCCGCACTGCACAGCCGCGCGGACGAGCTATCTGGGCCAGAAAACGGCCCAATAGCCTGAATCGTTTACAAACACCACACCAAATAAGCCCAGTTAAACAAACCAGAGGGCAAGGTAGAAAAATATAAACTACAAGAAAAATGTTCGAAACTGAAAATATATAAATTCTCTTCCGAATGAACTTAATAATCTAAAAACAATAAACCTCTAAAAAGAAGAGAACTTAATAGCCTATCTGTTAAATGTACATAATTTAAAAAACCGAATTAAATATTACTTTCAAGTTCAACTACTAAAATGCAAAAAGTTCAAACATATAATGTTTGTCAATTATGCTAAATATCTTATTACATAAAATCTAACAAGTTCAACTACTAAAAATGCAAAAAGTTCAAACATATAATGTTTGTCAATTATGCTAAATTTCTTATTTACATAAAATCTGACAAGTTCAACTACTAAAATGCAAAGAGTTCAAAATAGAATTTATTTGTCAATTATGCTAAATTTCTAATTTATATAAAATCTCACAAGTTCAACTACTAAAATAAAATAAGTTCAAATAGAATTTATTTGTCAATTCTGCTAAATTTCTAATTTATATAAAATTTGTACACACCTCAACAAACGGTCTGGTCGTAAAATAATCTCAATCCCCACAAGACACCGAAAAAACCAAAAAAAACTCAGTTCAATCATACATATGACATAAGTACTAAAAAAGCAGGATCAGTCAGGCCACTCACACCACTACGACACCAAATTTCAAAACCGCACGTTGTATGAAATTACATTTCAGTTCACACAGAACTAAACCATAAGTGCACTAAAATGAGGATACAAACACTATAAAGGCCTAACTTAGGTAAGTACAGATGAAAATAAAATAAGTACCAGTTTTGAGAAACAACTCCTGGGGCACTGAAAAATGTCTTGAGATAAACTAGTCTATAAAACTTCAGTGGAAAAACAAATACTTAACATCCTCAGGGAAAAACATCACAAAGCATACGTCACCTAAACAGTCCAAAATGCCATCATCACCACCCCTGAGATGACCAAGTGGGATTTAGCAGGTCATAAGTACAGCTTGACAAGAGAAGGCAGTGCAGTAGTAAAACCATTTGAATTGGACGGTTGCTTGTTCAAGGCCACCACCTGCGCCACCCACTGAGCGGTTGCCACAAGGGACTGCAAACGGGCACCCCCACGACCACCACACCCACGCCCCTGACGAACCGCCTCCCACACATCCCCGTCGACGCACTACATAAACCCCATCATCTTCCATCTCTACCTCATTCCCAGAAACCACCATTGTCACTTCAATCTCCACTGCACACAAACCACAAACTTCTCTCTCCCAAGCCCACAGTCGCCGCAGGAAGGCGATGGCGGAGGAACCATCCGCCAAGCGTCATCATGGCGAGCCATCGGACAAGAGCAGCGACCTCGTTGACGTTCACGCCCCCGGTGTGAAGCGCGAGTACACGAGAACCCTCACAGGGGTTGAGCTCCACGGCAAAGAGATGCTGGAGATCGTCTGCACCAGCGAACCAGACAAGGCTGACGAGGTGATGAGCAGGCTCAGGATGAAGGGCGGCGTCTTGTATCCGAGATTCATCGGAGTTGATGTGGAGTTCACCAGGGATGATGAACCTCCATAGATGGTGGCAGTCCTGCAGTTGTGCGTCGAGGAACTCTGCTTGGTTTACCACATCGCACCAGCCACAAAATGGTAACCCATACTACTATTCATTCATCTGTTGTACTAGTACTACTCACTAGAAACTTCATTAAACTAGTTTCCCAACTAGACGAACTACTATACTTTGTGAAGTGTATGCACGAGTACATGTTTCTCAACTTACATGCAATTCTGGAACTGTGAAGTGGATTGTTTCACCCGATTAGCATCTGAAAAAAATGTTATAAAATTGAATTGATGTATTAAAAGATGTTTGGTGAAGTGGTATAGGTCCATATCTTGATGCACATGTTTCTCAAATTAATTTCTGAACTTGATATAGAATTGATGCACAAAGATGTATCAAGCACTGGTATAGGTCTTTTATTCAACCAAAAAAGAAAACTAAACTTGAATCAAGCAGCACATATATCATTGAATCTGTTAAAATGATTCTTGAATTTGGTGAAGCATTTGGTGAAGCACTCAAGACAGCAAAAAAGAAAAATAACATGGTGTAGTTGAATTTAATTTTAGGACTTTGTGTACTAGTTTCTGGACTACATTCATCCATGACTTATACTATATAAGCATCTACCTCATGGATTATCACTTTCAAAACCAAAAAACAGAAGAATTAAATATTCAAAAAGAACACTAACCTTCAATGTGTGTCTCCCACCTTGCAGGCCCAAGCGCCTCAAACAGTTCCTGCAGGAGGAGAAATTGTACACATTTGTCGGTTTCAGCATTGGAGGCAACAAGCGGATGCTGAACAAGTCTGGTTTGGAGATCAACCCCAACAACTTCATCGACATGCAGCGCAAGTGGAAAGATCCACACACCGGCAAATACTTCGACTCCTTGGCCGATGTTGCAGGCGGCGTCATCCACCCATTCTACAAAGGCATGAAGAAGAAGAGCGAGAAGAAGGAAGACCACAAAAAGTGGGGGACCAGCCCGCTGCCAGACAACCTCATCACGTACGCAGGAATAGATGTGTACGCCACGTACAAGTCATGGAAGACAATTGACAACATCATGACAGGTTGGGATATTTCAGAAGAGTAGGAAGCTGACCCCTACTACCATTGCAACTTCACGAGATGAGAATGCATGAAAGTCTGCATTCGTGTTGCTTGCACTTCTTCCTGTCCTTAATATTGTTGTTTTAGATTTGTAGTTTGCTTTCGTTATGTTGAACCAGCTACCTTATGTTATGTGTGTCAGGGTTTGAACAAGTTTGCCTATTTCAATCATGTACATCGTTTGCTTATGTTAGTCAACAAGTTTGCTAGCTTCCTATTTTTGTTCATCCATCATTTGAAGTTGAAGTAGGTTGAAGTTGAAACTTGTCATGCAGAAACAAAAAATCATACATGGATATTTTCACAAAAAAAGTGGAAGACTAAGGACAACAGCAAAATAGTAGAATTGGACGCTTAGTACAGCTTAGACATTTACGGTAGTACTATCACACTAAGAAAATTCAGTTTTTAGTTTCAGAAGAACACAAAAAAGACTAAGTTTCAGCCGAGGACTACTAACAACATCGTGCTAATAGTAGTTAGAAATTTACTAAGTACTGCAACAGGAAAATCAAAGAACAATCAGTACACATTTCCAAGCCACTAGCATGCTAGGACTAAGAGTTCTGGTACACATGAACAAAACGGTACATTCATTCTACAAAAATATAAAAAGGAACGGGAAGCTTCAGTTCACATTCCATAAAACATTGACACACTCAAGAATAACACTAATAGTACAACAGAAATGTCAGTACAACTTAGTCTGTAAGGCAAGTACTATGATCATACAAAACATTGCCTTGAGAAGAACCACAGCCTAGAAAATAGGTCACCCCCCCGGACACATATTTAATTGTAGCTAATTTAAACCAGTTTTTAAATTTTACTATGAAGTTCAACTACTACAATTCAAGAAGTTCAAACAAAAATTTGGCTCTCAAATCTTGCTAAATTTCTTATACTTGAATAAAATCTAGCTAGAGATGACATAGCTACTTGGTCGTAAATAAGTTCAATCACAAAAAAAACTTCAGTTCTAATACATTATATGGAGTCAGTTCTACATAACAAGGAAGCGTCACTCCACTCACGCTAGATCCATAAGTGCCATCGTGACACCAAAATTTTAAAAGCCTAACGCTGAACGACATTACAATTCAGTACCAACATAACTATACTATAAGTACATGAAAAAGAGGGTACAGAAACTATAAAGGTCCAACCTAGGTTGGGACAGATGAAAATAAATGATAAATCTCACTTTTCCCAGCAACAACTCGTAATGAACTTGGGAAGACGTGTTTTTAGTTCAACTAGTTTACAAGACTTCAGTAGAAAAAATAGAACTTAACCAGAACGAATTCCCAATGAAACATACACAAGTGATATATCACACAACTATCAAAAATCAAAGACATCCAAAACACTACAATCAAAGCCTTCAATGCTTTCAAGAGATATATCACACAACTATCCATTTCACTACGCGAATGATGACCATTTCTTCTATGCACCAGGAGCCAAAGGCTGAAACTCCTTGGGAAGCTCCGTCACCAGAAGCTGGTTATTCCGGTTGAACACAACTCTATACAGATCCTCAGCCTTCCAATCAACAATACGAGGCTGCAAAACAATGAAACAAATTATCAAAAAACCATGACATATTAAAAAGAAGAACACACAATCAGCCAAACACGGAAAAGTGAAAAGCTCAACTAGAACCCACATCTTTATCTCGAATGTTCCCAACGATCTTTTCACCATCATAGGATCCTGCATACTTCAGAGTATAATGGCCACATTCATTAGCCCCTTGAAGTGGAACCTTCACAAACGTTGGTTTCTTTGCAAAAAGCTCCCATTTGGGTTGCTTACTCGCATTGTACTGAGCATCACCATACACATCCTTCATTACTTGGACCATCCTGGAGATCTGTAAGAAAAGAAAAGAAACCACACATTTTCAGGTCTAAGAAAAAAGCAGAAACAAAGATGCAGAAAAATTAATCCAGTACAGATAATAAATGTCACTCACAATCTTCTCGCAGTCTTTATGATAGGTGTTCTTTGAAGGACGATGGTTCTTCGGATAAGGTAAAGAGTCAAGGATGTCGATGCTACTTCGGTACCGATTCATGACATATAAGGAAAAGTGTTTCACTTTCTTATCCTTTGGTAAAACCATAGGCTTGAATAGAGGCATCATGATCTAAAAACAGATGACTAAAAAAGAGATGTTAAATATTCAAAATAAAAACCAGCATGGCGATAAACAAATAAAACCAAAAATCAGCTAGTAGATCTCATAAGGTCGGCACTGAGCAAGTCTTCATTATCTTTAACATAGCTCTTGAAATCTCTCGCTGCACTCTTCACCTTAAACTCTTTATTTTCATCACCGTAAAACGTACAGTCAAGCACAACCTGCAAAAAAAGCCAAAAAAGAAATACACAGGGGAAAAGGATAAACAAAGCAAGGTATTATCAATACTCGTAAAACAAAATAAGCGTTCTTGTCTAAGAGAAACAAACAATCTGATTGGTTACCGTGATGAAATATGGACTCAGCAATACCCTTTTCCCAGACGCAAAATCAACATTTCTATCGGGATCTTTCTTCCAATCATCAATATGGAAGTCCATTACATCACCCTCCATCATTTGCCCAGGTGCAAAAACATCCCAGATGCGTTTCCCAGTGAAGCTGCTTACGCTATCATCAGGCTGAGGTATCATTGAGAATGTATTGCTACAGCACGGACAAGAACAAAAAGCAGGGGAAGCAAAGATAAGGCATTCATAGCAGTTCAAGTTGTATAAAAAGTAACAGTTCAGGTCATATCTATCTAGCAGTTACAAACAAAAGAGGAAAAGAAGAGGAAACATAATGAGGGATACTCACTCGGCATACTTCTCACATGCTTCATCGCTCAGCAACAGATTATACAACTTGCGAGCCTTGTCCACGTGAGGGAATCTATGAGGCTGAAGCTGCTGCACAGGGGAGCAAAACTTTATAGGAGCTCTGGGTGCACGCTTCGTGCTTGTAACATTGCCAGAATCCAAAGCAGGATCCTTCCTAGCACCACCAGCTCTGTGGGCCACTATTCCAGCAAGTGGGGATAAACCCTTGGCAGCAGCAGCTCTTCTGGTGACTCTTCCCATGCCAGCAATCTTTTCAAACGCATCATCATCGCTGTCTATCAATTCCACAATGGGATTCTTGGGTGTAGAGGGGCTCTCTACACAAGTAGCCATAGAACCTTTCAGAGCTCCCAACCGCCCCTTAAGAACACTAGACCTTGTCTTTTCTGGAGAACGCCACTAGCTAAGATCAATAGATACGCGCTCAAGCTCTGAGAACTGGCTACCAAAGATCCTGTAGTCATGCTCATTAAGATCTAGCCACTCACCTGCAAAAATAAAAAAATAAAAGAAAGCATCAAGGGTAAAGTTCAAATACATAAATCATGACAGTACCAATCAAAGAAGTACAAGATGCAAAAAAATTACAAAAGGTCATGCATTATGTACAGGGTTCGATGCCAAAAAACCACGGAAGTCAACATCAAACACATCACTAGTTCTACAGGTGTACAGAGAAGTCTTCCTAATGTCATTAATGTCTTCGTGACTGTAATCTAACATTTCAATCACACCATCGTCCCGGGAATGATAGCTCTTGCAGCTTTGTAGCACAAAGCATCCACAATCATGCCTGTTAACAAAAGAAAAAACAGAATGGGTACATCAAAAATCCGAAAACACAGTAACACCACCCTCCCAGCAACAAAAAAAACTAATAAAAACTCATTAAAAACGGATACTCATGTGTTTTTCTGCTGCGGCACCCGCACAAACTCGCAAGAGAAACCATCAATATGCGCCGGTGAGAACGGTTTCGCCTTGTCTACTCTAGACTCCCTCCAAACCTTCTTTATGTTATCTGTCATATTCCTTAAGAATCTAACTGCATCACTCTAGGTTTCATCACGCAGTGAATCAAGACACTCAAAACGACGGAACCTCAAATTCAGAACAATCAAGCACCAATACCCAGATACTTCGCTAGGCTTCATGATAGCCGCAATGGATGGCTGATCAAAAGTAGGCAAGAGAAGCTGACAAAAAAATCACAGAGGAAAAATGAATTTAACAAAACATAATGAAACAAAAAATTCAGCCTCCAAACAATAAAATAATAGAAGAAAAGTGAAATTCTGAAGTACAAACAAAAAATAAGATAATCATAAGTTTTAATTAAGTAAGCAAAACACTACAAAAAAATATATGCTACTCTAGTTAAAATTGCAACAAACATATCAGTTCAATTTCCTTGTGACAATAAGTTCAGCTTCGCACAAAAGAAGCACACATCATTCATAAGTGCATGGCTAAAAGCAGGCTGCTCAAGTTCTTTCCACCACCTCCCAAACTTGCAAGAAAAACATGACAATTCTAGTTCATGAGTACAAAAAGTACAAGTTCAACTACTTGGTCAAAACCATCAGCGCACGATCTCGTAAACCAATTTAGCACATTGGAATCAATATTTCCATCACGGGTCTTGGTCTTGTAACGCCCTCGATGCATCTATATCTCCTACATGTCGAAGCACGACTTAGAGGCATAACCGCATTGAAAGCAATGTCGCAAGTAAGGCAATCTTCACAACATCCCATGTAAATAGATAATAAAAGGGAAAGGTACATAGTTGGCTTACACTCGCCACGTCAAACAAAGTACATAAATAGCATTACATCATCCAATCACTCATGGCCCGACTACGGTGCTAAAATAAAAGATCAACCCAACATGCGACACGGTCCCGATCGCCCCAACTGGGCACCACTACTGATCATCAGGGAAAGACACATAGTAACGGCGTGAGTCCTCGTCGAACTCCCACTTGAGCTCAAGCGCGTCATCTGGAACGGAGTCATCAGGCCCTGCATCTGGTTTGGAAGTAATCTGTGAGCCACAGGGACTCAGCAATCTCGCACCCTCGCGATCAAAACTATTTAAGCTTATAGGTAAGAC